TGTAACCTGACAACGGCATCGATTGCCGGAGGTCCGCGACCGCGCCCTGGCGCCAATGTGGGTTACGGTATACATCCTATATTTCTAAACTTATAATCTTGTCTTGAACATACTTTCCGATGTGCTGTGCGAAGTTGGTGCGACTTCTGCAGTTGCGGACTATGCATCTCGGATCATCGGGTGCCACTAATTTAGAGAGGCTACTCCCGGAGTTTGCTTCTGATCTCAGCAATTTCGACGCTACTAGCTCTCGCTATTAGGCATCGCTGCATAGCAGCTAACCTGGATCAGCTAAACTGAATGACCATTTCGCAAAAAGGAACTGCAAAGGATACAACGAGGAAGAAGAAGATTGAGAAGAGAAGACGACGGATACGTATAGGATGTTGACGGAGGGTCATCTTCAATATTACAACCAAAAATACCAGTACCATTTCCGTCACAGGAACCAAAGGAGAGGTACAAAAGCATTGAGATGGGAGCCGCACATTAGAACTTGGAACGGACTTTCGGGATGCGTTTTTGTATGGCTAAGAGAAATCACACCGAGCACTACCGAAATATAGCGAAAGACTTTTCCGTCTCTCGTATATCGCCTAGTGCGCAGAAGGCGTATCACCGATTTCAATAAAGGATAAAAAGATAAAGCATTTGCCGTTGATCAATCCCTTTTGGGATGCGGCACGCATTCTACTTCCATTTGTACATTCGTAGTGGCGTTTGAATGCGATGTGGCCTATACAATGACTTGCGGGGCCAGCCGATGTACAAGTCAGTGTTTTTATCCTCCCAGACAAGTCTGGTACCAATTAACCGACCCCGGAGGGATGGAAGGCTTGGTTTGGCCCGGGCGACTCACGACCCAGGATTTGATCCCCGGACCGCTCGCGTGGTAAGCGCGCCACTTGTCACTACACCACTTCCGCCCTAAGCTATAGAGTGAGTCAATTAGAATATTATGTCGTGTTGTAAATAGCTCATCCGACTTCAAAGCAAAATGAAGTGCTGTGAAAGTTTAAAAAGTTGCGCGAGCACTAGTAAAAGGTTTCAGAAGCTCCAAACCTAGCTCCGTGCACATGGTGAGCGTGCCACTTGCCACTACACCACTTACACCCCGATTTCAGTATGCCACTACTATTCTGAATAACCAGGAATAGGATGTGTAACGCGCCCCAAAAAGGGACTGACAAGTCAAGTGCCCCATCGCTCCATTGCATAGAGGGTTTTTGCAGCATGACAAATGAATTCGATAAAGTGTCTCATTTTTCTATGTTTGAGATTTTCTAGCGCCTGCTATCAACCCTGAACACTAGCAACTTCGAAGGAGTAGCATGCCAACAGGCCTCTCATATTCTCTCTCAAGTCTGAGTTCGATGGATTACTCTGATTTCCCTCCTGTTATATCGTATAATAGGTCCGCACGCTTTTCCTGCAATTGCAGCTCCGCTTGGTCATAATATTTGACGAGCCGTGGTCCTACACAAATTTATGGTTACTGCATATTCATGAAGGACAAGACCGCCTAATATTCGGTTTCACCAGAATCATAAAACGGTTGAGAAGGGTTCAAATTCGGAAGTGTGAGTGAAATCATATCGATCTGGAAAAAAACTTATTCGATGGTAAATATTAACCAACCAGGCTCGGCAAACAAAATCTTTTTGTCCTTTCTTCAAAAACACTTTGCCGTTTTCAAGATCCGTGACCGGCGACAAGCTCTGGTCTGGGGTACAGTCCTGAAAAGTAGTATTTTAAAAGAAACTATTCAAAAATAGACATTTTCATCCTGTTGGATGACAAATTTACCCTCAGATATCCATATTTGACATCCATATGCTTCAATATCGACTTGTCCCATGGGTCAGGAGGTTCGAATGGGCAATAATCAAATATGTCAGTTGTCCTGCTTACTTTGTTGGAGTTCGTCTCACGAGTAGACAACTCTAAACAGTTATTTTGCAAAGAGGCTAAACAAAGTTGCGCTGTTCACTTTTGAAGGGAAGAAAGTAGGGCTTCTGCTGTTCTGTGACAAGGCTCATCGGCTCCAACATTAGCTACAGGTTCAGCCCGAAGCCGTAGAAAGGGCTGGGCTTACGTCAGTGCTTCTTCGCCATCCCAGACCCCTGAGTTAAAGACTTGATCGCGAACAACACCAACTTTGCACAATGGCTGGCTACCGCAAACTATAAATGAATACAACTCAAGGTTGCATGGTTTCATTTAGAAGTCAGGTACCGGCGCGTCCTCACGAAATGGCCGGATCGAAGTTATACGAACCACCACTCCATGTGAAATATCACAATGCAAAAGAATGGATAAAATCTATGATAATTTTTATGCCAGGATATCGATTTTTAGGCACGTCCCATTCTGACGCTGGAACAATCAATATTCAGAGATAGTTAAGCTTCACCGTCGCTTAACAGTTTCTTTCAGAACCCTTCGGTATCGTGTAATACTAAAGAATTCACTCTACCCATTTGTGCAATTCCCCAAAGAGGTCCGGCTACACACTTAGGTTAGATTAGGAAGGAATGCCAGCCTATGAAGTTGAAAGGATCACTCCAGCGGCTCTTGAAGAGCTTGTCTTTCATGCTGTCATGCCATAAAACTGCATTATTAGAGGCTTATTCAGACATCGCTAAAGGGCGAGCAAATGTAACAACAGAAGGAAAAGAAATGAACAGGCGTCAACCATGTAGGTACAGATAAGATAAGAAGAAAGCGACCCTTGCCATAGTGGTCGAGGACCACCCGCGTGCCCTTGATAGAGCTAGGGTAAAATATATTCATAAACATACGAGGTGGGCTGGTTACATCCGATTCGGACCACCCTCTGTAACAACGCAAAGCAGCGTATGTTTGTGCTTCCATAATGTAAAGCAAAAGCGTATCAACGACCGCCGGTCGAAGCTGCATTGAGTCACTGAGAAAATAGAAAGGCGCTTTATGACACCATCTATGAAAGAGGCTTTCTAAACCCACAATTTAATGGCAAATGAAAACGGCCGTACTCATGACCGCGTATGGGTGTGCTTTTATAAAGCGAGAGGTGACTAGTTCGATTTTAGCCGACCTGAAGGGAAGAATCTTCTCGTTTAACACTTTTCGATAGATTAGTCATTTCTGACGTTTTCTAATTAGCTATAGATTATGACACTTTCATCACAACAGTGTGCCTATGACTGGGCTAATATTCACACCCACCCCTTCCCTACCCCACGGGTAGGCGCAAAATTGCCAAAAAAAAACGTTCAGTTTGAGGAATACGTGAAGAATTCGAATCCTGCCTGTAAATAGCAACTCACAGAAAACTAAGGAACAGCATTCCACATGTAGCTAAAATCTAGCTCAGCCATTTCCGATGTAGGGAAGGAGTTCATCGTGACACGTGAACAGGTGTCTTCTAACTATACTCCCCTTCCAACGGCAGCTGTGAGACTCCGGATTCTTAGAACGACTTCTCCAGTCTACGGTCACTAGCAGTCCAGCGATATGACATTTGAGGGGTTTCGAACTGCTGCAGTTGAAATATTTGACCAACTCGCAACACAGGGTGTGGAGTTTCGCGAATGTGACCACAAAATCCTCTTGAAGTTAGCGAGGGTGAGGACGGTGTGCACTTTAGCTCGCTCAGCAAAGACTAGCAAGAACCCTTCACAGTGTCTGTTCATCCGGTCACATAGCCCTTCTAGAAGTAGATGCCGAAACACCTTGTTGGTGAGGATAAATAGAAGACTTCACCTCACCGATATGCCACTTTATTAGGGTGTTCTATCAGGTACAGGAGCCGAAAAAATCTGCGCTATAAATAAAAGGATAAAGGATAAGCATTGCCGTGGAGCAAGCCCTATTTGAGGAATGCGGCCACGCTTTACTTCATTTGCAACTGCAGTGTAATGCGTATTGCAAAATATTTTAGGCCTTTAGGAATTTTTTAAAGTAATAACAATGGCTCTTACCAAAAAGGAAAGAAATTTCCATATTCTGGTCTGGAATTAAATATCAAGACCAAAATATGGATTGCTTTCTCATAAATATTAAAAAAATACTTATGGTAAACACATTCTGGTCGTTTTAGATAGAGCAGGTCCTTTTTGAATCTTCATTAAATACATCAGTTTATGATCAAAAAATCATTATGAATAGCCGATTGGAAATCAGGTTAGAGATGGATGCGCAAAAGAAGAAAAACCGTGAAAAATAGGCCTTTAACCCGAGAAATGGACCCTTCTTGCCCGTTGATTTGCGCATTGATGCGACTCTCATCGGTGCTGCCCTCTTCAACGCTAACGCTCTCTCTGCTAAACGGCTAGAGACTCAGACACGAGACGACGCGAGGCGGGGGGGGGGGGCAAAATTGCACCAATTGGACCGCGGGAAGGCCATGCTGGATCTTCGGTGGCTGACGCTTTAATGCGAATTTCGTGCCCATCCACACCCTTATGAGGTCCGATAGCCTGAGATAGGTCCGTTTCTGAGACGCGCCGCGTATACGTTTTCATTCGGAATCCTATTGGCCTCTGAATGCAGTAAACCTTATACGACGACTGCCTCACAGACATTTATCCTATACGTCTGTCACCAATGAACAGATCCTCGAGGGAGTACACATCTGCTGGTCTGGATGAGTATTGATCCATAATTCGAAGCATGTGAGTGGTACCGGTTCCGCTAACCACTGCCCGCCCCTTTACTGTGAAGTGGGTAAGGGGATTTGGTTGGGAGTGCACGTAATTCTCTTCAAATTGCCAAAATCCGTCCGGACCAGACCTCATAATGCCTCGAAAAACCTTTGATTCAAGATGCACTGGCTTATCTTTCAAAAGCCATTGAGTGTGACTTCTTCAAGGGTGCTTCTGGATGGAACAAGACCGAGGGACGGGTGGTGATGTTTAACTAACTCGACAAGAGAATTTAGTGTGAACACTACCAGCCAATTCTGTGGATGAGATCGGCAAGATTATTGTAATGATATTGAATTTGATCAGCTGCTGCTTCCCAAAAGGGGTGAAAAGGGACTGCGGAATCAATCCGAAATATACTTGTTCAATAGGAATCGAGGAGCAGAACAATAAACGAGCAAGGCAACACTGAAGAGCCATCATATGAGATAGAGCAGTGCTTCCGAGGTAAGCAAACCAGCCCTTTTGGCGTTTCGGCTGGGACCGTATGCTGAATGTTGGGGAGGGGATGGGGTCCCCAACGGTCGACGGTTTACTTCAACTCGGTTGGTACGATAGGAGAGTACTGACGCAAGTGGTGCAGCTGGTCCAGCAGCTCCGCCAGAAGGGCTGGTTTGCTCACCCCAGGACTAAGCCTTGGAGAGGGGACGGACCCGTCCTCTCTTTAAGGCTTAGTTCTGAGCACCAAATTGTGGCGGTTCTAAGGACCGAGTTGAAGTGGTCCGTCCACCGTCGGGGACTCCATCCCCTCCCCAACATTCAGCATACGGTCCCAGCCGAAGCGCCAAAAGGGCTGGTTTGCTTACGTCCTTCTTTCTATTCCACCACCCTGCCGTTGAAATACGCGTTGAATCGCGAACGTTACCGACCAACCTTTGTCAGCAATTGCTGGCTACACCGCAAACTATAAACAATGAATACACAACTCAACTGTTGTTCAATGGTTGTCATTGAATCATGTACACGGCGCATCCCCAACGAATGCTCGTATAGCGTACTTATAAGCCTACTCCTAACCACACTCCATGTGAAATATCACAATGCAAAAGAATGGATAAAATCTATGATAATTTTTATGCCAGGATATCGATTTTTAGGCACGTCCCATTCTGACGCTGGAACAATCAATATTCAGAGATAGTTAAGCTTCACCGTCGCTTAACAGTTTCCTTGGGACCCCTTCGGTATCGTGTAATACTAAATAATTCACTCTACCCATTTGTGCAATTCCCCAAAGAGGTCCGGCTACACACTTAGGTTAGATTAGGAAGGAATGCCAGCCTATGAAGTTGAAAGGATCACTCCAGCGGCTCTTGAAGAGCTTGTCTTTCATGCTGTCATTCCATAAAACTGCATTATTAGAGGCTTATTCAGACATCGCTAAAGGGCGAGCAAATGTAACAACAGAAGGAAAAGAAATGAACAGGCGTCAACCATGTAGGTACAGATAAGATAAGAAGAAAGCGACCCTTGCCATAGTGGTCGAGGACCACCCGCGTGCCCTTGATAGAGCTAGGGTAAAATATATTCATAAACATACGAGGTGGGCTGGTTACATCCGATTCGGACCACCCTCTGTAACAACGCAAAGCAGCGTATGTTTGTGCTTCCATAATGTAAAGCAAAAGCGTATCAACGACCGCCGGTCGAAGCTGCATTGAGTCACTGAGAAAATAGAAAGGCGCTTTATGACACCATCTATGAAAGAGGCTTTCTAAACCCACAATTTAATGGCAAATGAAAACGGCCGTACTCATGACCGCGTATGGGTGTGCTTTTATAAAGCGAGAGTGACTAGGACCTGAAGGGAAGAATCTTCTCGTTTAACACTTTTCGATAGATTAGTCATTTCTGACGTTTTCTAATTAGCTATAGATTATGACACTTTCATCACAACAGTGTGCCTATGACTGGGCTAATTATACACACCCACCCCTTCCCTACCCCACGGGTAGGCGCAAAATTGCCGAAAAAAATCGTCCAGTTTGACGAATACGTGAAGAATTCGAAATCCTGCCTGTAAATAGCAACTCACAGAAAACTAAGGAACAGCATTCCACATGTAGCTAAAATCTAGCTCAGCCATTTCCGATGTAGGGAAGGAGTTCATCGTGACACGTGAACAGGTGTCTTCTAACTTATCTCCCCCTTCCAACGGCAGCTGTGAAGACTCCGGATTCTTAGAACGACTTCTCCGTCTACGGTCACTAGCAGTCTAGCGATATGACATTGAGGGGTTTCGAACTGCTGCAATTG